AAATGGTTTATAAAAAACATCTCTGTAAGCTGTTGCTACTGCAAATTTAAATAGTCTCAACCCTTTCAGGTTACCATATCATTTTGTAAAAGTTGACATTAATATAAGAANGTTATGCATTTATGCTAGTTTTTGATAAATATGAATGTGTAGATAAGACACATTTGTTATAATTCAGGTAATCTTGTTAACTGTTCGAAACAATAATCGAACCTTTTTGTTATTGTTATTAAACAGTGAAACTTAGCCAAGTGTTTTATTTTAATTTAGTCAATTAATTACGGAAATGGTTTATAAAAAATCACTATTCAAACTTCTTAACTAATAATAGGATATTTTCGTACTAGCACGCTTTCGTTATTTTGTATACACCTACACTTACGTTAATTGAAATCAATGTTCATGAAATATGTAATATTCGAACGAAAAGGAAGAAATATTTCGCTAATAACAAAGTCGCCTGACTGTCGAGACAACATCGACCAAAATCAATAATTCCGCCGTCTCGCAAAATTTTGCTGAGGCTGCAACAGAGAAACAACCCTTGTTTTCTTTAGCATAGTTTTCAAAGGATTTTTAGAAAACAAATCTTTTTGGGAAATGTGCCAAACATAATAAATCATTCAAAAAACTCTTCTATTTTCTTATTTTCGAAGTTGTTTTCCAAACAGAATTATACGTGGGTAGAAAGTAAAATCGAATGTGGTGCAATATTTAGCAATAATGAATTAGAAACACAAGTCATCGAAATGTTGCTTATGCTTGTTGTTTGACAAGACATAACGTAAAACGTGCTTTTCATCAAATTAGAGACAGGTAAACGAAAGAAAAACTCACCTGTCGGTAATCAGGATATGCAGGGCGCAAGTCAATATGTTGAGGTGGTATGGGTCTAGTATTTAATCTACCGCCAAACTCATTGTTTGAAACGAATTGAGATTCTTTATCGTATACATCAAACTCTTTAGCATCAATTAATGGGAGTTGCATTTCCTGATAGTAATTCGAATCTCTTCTTTTCGGATGTTCAAAACTCGACTGTCCGGCGAATCCACCATATTTATTGTGCTGATCTTGGTGATCCGATCCTTCGTATGATTTCTTTGATTTGTGGTGATGTTCGTGTGCGTGATGTGGTTCGTGCGGGAGTACAGGAAAGTCCCGCCCGTGCCCCTGATGGTACTGTTCTTCTTTTGCATGATATACTGCCGCATGCTCTTGATGGGATTTTTGACCTTCTTTGTGACTACCTTTTTTATTTTGATAGTGATGATGATGGTGATGGTGGTGATAATGTTCAGGTGGATGATGATGAGAGGCTTCTACCAATGTAGGCTGAATATGAGTCACGAACTGGGCCATTTTGGTTAATGTCTCAATACCATGTTTGATTTATTCATTTTTACTACGCAAACTAAACGCACTACGGATAAATTTATTAAACTGCATGTCCACTAATGTCAAAGTATAAAAATAACAAGGTAATTTGTAGAATATTTATTGTCGAAAGGAAACGTTAGTGAATGATTGTAACGTCGACAAATTTCCACGTAAACTTTCAGTCCGCTCAAGTGCAGCGCAAATTATACAATTCCCTCCACAGAAGGAATCAAGTTTAGATGCTAGGGGTAGTTTTTGCCGATCGATAGGGCTCCAGCTAGCATCAAAACTGGACGGTTGCGAATTGAGCATGAGCCAACGGATTGACGGATAGAATCATCACAATCTTCATTTCATTTTGTTTTCGATATAAATAGATCTGTTTAGAATATAAGATCAGATATATATAAACTATCTGACTTCCGAAATGAGAAAAACAGGAAATTTTGATTACTTTCCCAAAAAAACAGGACTTTCTGTATGCTTTGCCGATAAAGTAAGTAAATAAAGGAATTCAGTCAACTTTTTATACTAAATGATATACATGTTAATAAATTCGTCAAAAATTCAGCCATGAGTTTCTGAGAAAACACTAAGACAGAATAATTTTATTTTTAATTTAATTGGGCATGTTTTGAGTACAGAATGACGTGCACTCTTCTTTACGTAAATGAGTCATTTTTTAACTTACTAAATGATTTAAAAAATCAGTTATACAAAATTTTGAACAGAGACTAAACGCAAATTAAGCATACACTGATATAAATAGAACTAAGCATATTTTGAGAAAATTGAGGATGACTACTGGTATATTAAACTGAATTAAACGCAAATAATTGTTTTTTACACTTTAGAATAATATTTTTTATGTGGGGTTAAGTTCAGTACATTAAAGTGAATTAATTTTTATCACTTCGATTTCCGGCGAGGGCGTGACGACTGCAATAATTTTTCCTCATTAATTTGAGGTTATCTGTAGTGTACTGATCATAACAATTGAATACAAAGTGTGTAATAACTTTTTACAAAAGCAAGCAAAAGATTTTCATAAAGTAGAAGAAGATTAAAATAGTTGTAACGACTTAAAAAACAAGGTGGAATTTAACAAAGAATAGCCAGTCAGTGAAGGATTTACGCCTAGGATCAAGAGCAATACGAATTCAAAAATCCATTACAACGTATAAAAAATTTTCAATAAAATACATTGAATAATCTGATAATTAAATTTACATTTTAATTTGTCGTAATATTACTTTTTATCCATATTAATTTTTTTTTAAATATGTTACTACAATTCGGATGTTAATTTCACTCTTTCACAAAAAAAAGCAGAATATCACACGGGGCTTAGGGCGGCATTAAGCCTAAATCCGTCAGTGTGTGCTAGTAATATAAAAATTATGCCAAAAGAAGATGAAAAATTGCTAAATAAAAGTGAAAATTTTCGAACTGTAATCTACCTCAAACCTGTTAATATTGATGAGATTAATAAAATATTTGGTAATTTGAAGGACCTAAATAAGAGGATTAATAAAATTCATTTTGAAATTTTAAAAATTATTTATTTTTGCATGTTCTTGTGACAATATTTAATAAATAAGTGGATATTGACCTGAAGTCTTAAAACAGGCGGAAGTTATTCCTGTAGATAAATCTAGAAGTAGAACACTAGTCACTAATTGTCGCCCCATTTTACATATTTTAAATATTTCAAAAACCCTTTCATTGAAAATCTGCCAACCAAGAATTAAGATTTCATTGCTTTAGTGTTTTAACAACTATTTGAACAAGAATTAATTTAGTAATATACTGAATTAATGCTACAAAAATTCAAAGTTAGGACTTAATGTGGTTTGGAACGATAGTGAGGATGGTATTTGATTTACACAGTTAACTGATACCCTTCATACCACTATCAGGTGCATCTGTAATGTTAATTACTAGCAAATAACGTACTTTTCAATTTAATTGATGAAAAACGTTCATTTAATTTTAAGGAGTTCTCACGATAAAAATTAAACCGCTTGTAACTGTAATTTAGTTGATGACTTTCCACGTTCATTTGATCTCTCAAAATTTTTGGAAAAGTGAAACTGAACAGGTGAAACAAGGTGAGAAAATAAAGAGATGAGAAAACAAGGGATAAAAATGTTTATAAAACATAGTAGGCTAATATGAGCTTCTGTATTACTTTTGAAATAGTGGGAAACATAAAAACACACGCTGCCATATTGTAAAAAATAAAAAATTTATGTACGAAACTGCTCCATTTCTTCTAGCTAGGGAAGGAGAGTTGGAAATAGCAACAACACAGGAGGTCCTCATTGTTCTCTATTTTTCTTATAACAAAGGCGAAGCAAATCTAAAAATTCTAAACTCTTTGGAAATGGTTAATCTAAAATATTGAATTGGCTTTATTTTTCGGGTTCAATGTCATGGTCCACGAAATTTTGAAGTTCCAAATTGACATCAGCACCTGCCAAATCACCACTTATCATACCTTTAGCAAGGAACTACGAAATTCTATGAATTACGATAAAACAGCCCCCAAAACAATATAGAATTGATATACGTCAGCTGCGTTAAATGGAAAACTACAAAATATCGTGGTGTGCTAATAAATGCCTATAATCCAAAATTCTTAGGAAACGATTCGAAAAACTTCACTTCACTTATTAGATGAACCTAAAGCTAAAGAAATTATGGATTCCATTTCTTTCTCGTTATGCAATGTGCAAAAATCAGAAACAAAATGGGATTGTAAATATTTTGATATAAAATGATGGATGTTGATTTTACATCATTAAAACGGTTTGCAACCCTATTTTGGCTCTGATCTTTCACAGTAATCAAACTATTTTGGAATCAGTGTCTTTTTTCCAACTAAAACGGGCGGCAAAAGCAAATAAGGAAGCATATAGAAAAATTATTTGTTGCTGAACTGAAGAAATTGTAACATAAATATAAAAAAAACTATTTCTCAATCACTTCAAAAAGAAAAATATGAATCAAACAATCTTCGCAGCTGGTGATATAGTGCGAACACCACTATTAGTCTAGAAAAACTCCAATATTTAAAAAAAGAGCAAATGCCTGTAAGGTTTTCTTAAAAAATATTTTATACTTAAGTAAATTTAGAAAATTAAAGGAAAGGTAAAAAGCATTAGTCCAGGATTATGTAGAATAAGTACAGTAGTTCCTGAGATTCAAATATTATGGTCAAAAGTTCAATTAGCCCAAAGATGTATCTTCTTTTTCTAAGCTCCATGACAAAACGTTTGACAGAGGACATTTTGACCAGGGTGCCCACGTAAAATAATTGATGCAGCATGAAGTACAGTAATAAGGGTAAAAACAGGTGCACTCAACTGTTTTGTTTCTTCGTATTTTCGTCGAGAAATAAATTGACGTACAACAAATTAACACGTTGATAAACACGTGTGCTTCTTCCGAAGGTTCAGATTTCATTAAACTTCGCAGATGGCACGCTAAATTAAAAATTTGCATAATGAAAAGAAAGCGACCGAATAATGACGCCATTAAAACGCCATTTATTATTATCGAAAAGCCCTCTTGTAATACGTAATACGTTTCATGAATATACTTACGCACATATTTANTAATTTTTTGAATCAGGACCCCTGTTTAATCGGTCAAGCTCTGTCATCATAAATGTGTATTGTAAGTGACGCATATAATCTACATAAAACATAGGGTAGGTACACAAATAGTACACATAGAACGATTTTTAAATTTTTAAAGATTTATTTGTCAGTATTAAATTTACAACAACGCTATACCTACTTGCAAAAAATAAATAATAATTAATTCATCTCTTCCATAATTTATAAGAAGTCGTAAATATGTAGGTATGATCTTCTCTATCTACTACAGATAACTTATCTACAAGTAAATAATTCCATTATTTTTAAAAAAATAAATTTAATGTAATCTATCTTCTGACAACTATTATGGAACAATATTTAAATGAAAATTATAACATTTCAATTCAACAACAAGAATTATGGTAAATAAAATGGACTCATTATAATATCAAGTGAAGCTTTAAATATTTAATTTTTTAGACGGAACCTTTTTGTGTGAGGCCAAAAGTAAACTCATTGGAACGAGCGGTGTTAACAAAGTTTGTAAACATTATTACCCTAAAACGATATTTTTTTGAATGATCATCTGCGTGTGCGCAAACGCAGAGTGGAAGATATTTAGAGATAGGGGGGTACGTTAATATAAACACTGAGATTTGGCTAGTTTGCAAAATATCCAGTTTTCACTATGTTCATGAAGTAGGTCAGTGGTTTCCAACCTTTTTGTACCTGCGCCCCCCTTTAAAAAAACAAATTGTTGCGCCCCCTTAATTTTTCTAACAATATTATGTAAAAATATACAATAAATATTTATTATAAGAAATACTAATTTTCGCGGCGAGGATTGTGGATTACGTATAACTATTTTGCTGATTCATTTTTTTTGACACCTATTCGACTTTTTTGGTTTGTATTCGAAAATGATATTTTGGAAACACGTGCATGTCCCCCTTGCCACAGGTTGGAAACCACTGACGTAGGTAGTTAAGTTAGTTAAGAACATCACTAGTTCAGTGGTTACAATACTCGCCTGGTGTAAGGCTGACCTGAGCTTTATTCTCGGTTAATTCAATAGCTTTTTGCATGTTTTATACCCTACTATAAGAACATATAACGCTTTTCATGAGCTGCATAAGTTTAGTTGTTGTGGCTATCTACAGTTCTTACAATTTTTATTAGTTAATGACCTTGGTAAAAATGTAGGAATGAGTTACAAAGATAGAAGAGTTTGTATCAAGAACAACAGACAGTTACAGAGCTGAGGCTAGAACGTAGAGAAGTAAAAATTAGAAAGGGAGTTAGGCAGAGATGCACGCTGTCACCGCTACTTTTTAATCTATACATCGAAGACGCCATCAACATCATTAAAGACAGTACAACTGTAGGGATAGATGTGCAAGGGCAAAAGATTAGTATGCTTAGATTTGCAGATGATATAGCAGTATTAGCATCTAGCACGGAGGAGTTAGAGATAGCTTTAAATAAAATGGAAGCGGTATTAACAAAACAATATTGTATGAAAATAAATAAATGTAAAACCAAAATATTATTAGGTATCCAAGGGAAAAAAAAGTGGAGAAAAAGCGAATATAAAGATAGAAGACGAAAATTTAGAAAAAGTGGCTGATTTTAGGTATCTAGGAAGTCAGATCAGTCAGGACGGAATGAGCAGTAGGGATAAAAAGCAGAGGATAGCGCAGGGTCGAGTCGCCTTCGATAAAAACAAGTCACTTCTATGCTCGCAAACGGTAAATTTAGAAATTCGTAAAAGGTTGTTAAAGGTATGTGTTTAGAGCGCGGCGTTTTATGGGTGAAAGACATGGACAGTGAGCGCGGTGGAAAAGAATAGGTTAGAAGCGTTAGAAATGTGGTGTTACTGGCGATAGAGAAGGTTAGAAATGAAAAGATATTAGAAAGATTAGGAGAATAGATGACTCTATGAAAGTCAATAAGACAAGACATAGGCGAAATAGGTTGGTAGGACACCTTCTCAGGCATGAAGGTCTAGTCAGAGACATATTAGAGGCAGAAACGGGAGTTAGGAGGTGTAGAAATGTGAGTTATTCTAGTTTTAGGGAAATGCGAAGATTAGCTCAGGATAGGAAAGCGTGGAGGTGCGTGTCCAACCAGCGTTAGGACTGACGACTTTATGATGATGAGTGTCCTGCGCTGTCCTTGCCGTCAGCTTATCGGGTGTCGTTTCCGGTAATGGAGACACAGCCTTTATGAAGTACATACTTAAAATATATGCTTTGCCGAAAACAAGTCGACTGGATGCCATTTCCATAAATAAGGAAAAGATGGAATATAAACAAAATAGTTTGATTAGTTTATTTATAAATAAATGATTTAAGGTCACTGGTCAGAATTTTTCTATAGCAAATCATTTATTTTATAGTCTAAATGCAATGAGTGGAGAATCTCCTTCGAGTTTCAGGGAAATAAACGAATCTTCCAGAAGACAAAAAACTCGGCATTCGCTGCAACCTATTATACATGAATCACAGATTAAAGACACGAGGCTAACACAATCGCAGGGCTATGGAAGACGACAGCGCTCTAAACTCAACCCGTTGGTCTTAAAAGTTCCTTCGATTCCCGAAGACGAGGAAGTTAATAAACCTTCCACGCCCTCAAACGATCAGTTTAATACTTTTGAAAAATCAGAACAAAAACGAAAAAACAGTGAAACCAGGATCGCGAATAATCGCCAAAATTCATCTGCATCAGATAACTGGTCTCAAACACGACGAGACTCTCACCATGATACTCTCGAAAGGCCCTCTCATCAGAGAACGCGCATAACTAATTCTTCGATTAGCAGTACTGTAAATCCTCAGTAAGTATTAACAGTATAAACTGTTGTATTTAAAAGAACTTCAAAATGCACATGTTAAATAAATACACAACGTGTTGCTTTATGGTAAAACAGTTTCAGTATAATAAGAACCTATTCACTCTAAAACAATTTACTTACTGCATTTAAACAAGGTTTATCGAATATCTACAAATGACGTGGAGAACGTCATCTGTAGAACTTTGCTGCTATTTCTGATTTAATTAATGTTTGACGTGACCCTTTTACCATTAAAGTAATAAACTTGTTAAATTAAACTCACACCTAACAGAACAAAAGGTTTTCGACCTCTTTGAATCTCATCATCACGCCGTCGATAGTTTCTGTACCCAGTATGCAAATTAGTCGCTGTTCTGCCGGCGTACTGACGAGATACAAAGTAGTCAAAATTACAATCCACGTTTGACGGTTTTACTAGATCAGTTGTACAATTTATACGTATTATTGTTCTTTATTAAGCTGCTCAACACATTAAGAGCAATATACTTTTACTGACATACTTTAAATCGATTAACTCAATCAATTTCACTTTTAATACGATTATACTAAAATGTGAATTACAAAGGTTTAATCTGTGAATAGTAGATCAAGGATAACAGCGTCGAGAATTTATAATTTTATTTTTCACAGGGTTCAAAAAGAGCAATATTGGTGGTTTTCAAAAAGACCGTTTCGTAAAACATCTATCTTAATTTGTATTATAATAGTATTATCAATTATAATTTTAATAGAATCATTGTTTATTGTAATTTATTGACATTAACCGTCACAGATATTGATTTTCTTCTTCATAAGTACTTTAACACACGTATTTTGTTATATAAAATACACTACATTGTGATCTTTTTGTATTGACTAATTGTAAGTATTTGTTGTTTGCTTAATTTTGTAGAAAGAATATTGGAGGGCTAAATAAACAATTTTTACGAACATTAATGTTTATGAGAGTGTTACTTTTCCTACATATCATAATTGTTAGTATCATAGCAATTATAGCATTCAAAGTTAAGTTCAAGGCAGTATGTTTCCGTATGAGGTAATGGTACATATTTTTACGTATTTGAGGTGATGCAAACAATACAAACATTTAAAAAACAATTATGTATACACGTTTTTAATTATTTTATTTATTTATTTAAAGCACATAATAAGTGATTAAAAACCACTTAACTTCACTTTAATACTTTTTTCTTTAATTGGTTATTTAATATATGAAAGTAAATATACTAATATGCGAGCACCCTCAAAAATATGCATAAAAATGTTACTGAAGACCCGCGAAGAAAAGTTGCCGGATCATAACCAACTGGAACGGATTTGTTACGTTTTTGGGAATGAAAAATCTAAATAACATTTTGTTGTTCGAATGGCAGGTAACTCATTTCAGTTACAAACCTAAAATAAAATCAAAAAATCGTTTTGAAACTGGGTTTGTGAGATTAGCTAATGAAATAGAAACACTTCTTCTCTTGACATTTTTTCAGAAAATACAGCCTGTCAAAAGACCAAAAACGTTTAGCTTTCATCAATAGACAAAACAATTTGTTATTTTCCTTCTTATTTTGTTACTTTAGTTTAATTCGTTTTACGTTTTTCACACTCCCAATAACGTTACGAATCCATTTCACTTGGTTTCGTTTTGTCAAACTTTTTTCGCGAGGTTAAGTGACTTTTTCATGAATATTGTTTTAAATATTCTATAACTTTTCAATTAATCTATGTTTGTATTGTTTGCATCACTACAAAACAATTTTAAAATAAATGATCAGGGTGGGCCAATTTCGATGTTTGTATAGGACAACTAGGTAACTATAAAAGATACAAAATAATTAATGTAACTTTTCGATCTCATTTTTTTGAAACAAATTTATTGGCGTCTTGATTGTTGGCAACATTATAAAAATACAACTTTTACATTTTTCAGGCACTTGTTTACATAGAATATAGTGATGTCGGAAAAAATAAAAATAAAATATTCCCTTTAGAGTTATTTCCGATACATAAATTACATCTCGCTATGATAATACTCCTGAAGCAGATTAATATTCCAATTGGAAATTAAACATTCTAGATTATTGCTAGTTCATTCAAATTTTAATTTTTCTACAATATATTTTTAATAGTGATGAGCAAAACAAGACTAAGACTAAGACTGTCTCGGACTTGATATTGGTATTAGTCTTGCTTACTGGGTCTTCGTCTGGGTGTTGCTCATTTAATCTGATACTCACGTTTTTTTTTGCTAATTTTTTAAGCACAAATTTTTCTATTTACCGCCACAATAATTGTCTTAAATAACGAAATTTTCTGTCATACATGCGAGCTTGTCATGAATATTAAAGTAAATAATGTGCAAAAAAATAGTTTGTCTCTATATTTCAATCAAATTTTATCCAGGCATAGGAACAAACAACACTTACTCCGAGTATTTTTAATTTGCTCTCAAAAGAAGAAGTCCAGTCGCAATAGGTCCAGTGATCATGGAGGCCGCCTGACTGGTCCATTATTTCCTATCCAATTGTAAATTGATGTTTAATAATCCCGAAAAACCTTTGTCATTATGAGGAGGTGTGGAATTTTGAGAAAGAACTTACTATTTGCTTCAGCTAAGGTAAATTTTGCATAAAGTCGTGGATAAAAAAAAATGGATAGCTATAATGGGTGTAATTAAGGAGATTAATAAAAGAAATAAAGGAAGAGAACCGTAAAAATTGAAAGAAAATAAAGGAAAGTAAAGAAAAATAATTAGAAGAAACATAAAGGTGAGAAAGCTTTGAACAGAAGCTAAGTATATAAATTTCAGAAAGAAAATAAAAATATAAAGGAAAAGATGAAAAAACTAGAGGAGACAATTGAAAAATTATAAGAACAGGAAAAAAGTTTAGATGAAGACGAGGAAAGAGGCAGAAAGATGTGAGGAATGGTTTAAAGCGAAAAAAAAACAACTTGAAATCAGAAGTAAGGAGATGATAGTAAAGGAATTGGAGATAGGAAAGCATGTAGGGAAACAACCAAAAGAACAAAAAAAAAAGAAAGAGGTTGGAAATGGACCTAGAAAAAGAAAAGAAGGGAATAGAGTTGGAAGAGAATAAAGAGAAGAAGGAGTTGGAAAGACTAATAATGATGGGGCTGATGGTGGGACTAAAGGATGTATGGAAAGTTAAACAGAAGCTATATGGGTCAAAAATGAAGAAGTGGGAAGAAAAGCTACAGGTGGTAAAAAAACAGCGGAAGGCCGATAGGAGACGGAGGTTTACATAAAAGTTGACTGGAAGAAAGAAGAAAATGTTAGAACTAATGGTAAAAAAGAGAAGGTTAATGTTGGATACAAGAAGATAATTATAGATGAGGTAGTATATATGGATCTCGGATGAGAAAAAAATGGCAAAAACTGAAGAGAAGTGGACATTTGTAAAAAATAAGAAGAACCTGATGCATGCATTGAAATAATTAATACTGTAAAGAAGTATCTTTAAAAAAACTAGTTTAACCGCTAGTTAAAGTGTATTTATGGTAATTCCTGAGACCAAATTCATTTATTTCTTCATCGCATTGGGTTTTAAATTTTTTTAAATACGAAAATCTCAAAGATTAAAAGCAGGTATAACAGAGAAATCAAATGAGAGTTTTATACTTATTTTTCGATTATTGTGATCTCGTCCTTATAAATTTCACTTCCAAACAACATCATAAACTAACGTAATATTTTTTCTTCTCAAGTTTAAAGGTCGAAACTGCTAACCGACAGAGGCTGAAATTAGTTAGACATATATATGTGTATACACTTTTGCTAATATCTGCTGTCGTATTTACGTATGAGAGATAAGTAATTTGTCAATATTGTCTCAAAAGAGTGTTTTCATTATTAGGACATTTATGTCATTCAAGTTAACTCAGCTATTTCTCATATGCGATATTGAATGGGAGCATCCGAATTCAGTACAAAAACCAGTTTAGTAAACATAAATTAAGCACAAACTTGGACATGAATTGGTTACAACGATTTTGTTACCTTCACTTGTTTAAATAAACACCAGCAAGCAGTGCTGTCAAGTATTATTTTGCAATTTTGATCAGAACTTTTAAAAAGGGATGAACATTTGGATGAGACAAAAGGTTTTCTTTGATTCAGCTGTATAGCCAAATTACCGCTTGTGTTAAAAATTAAAAGTTACATAATATGTATTGATGAATTACTATGAAACCGAGCGGCATGGCCTAGAGGTTTAGACCATTGCTTAGTATTCGGGAGGACGCCGGTTCCATTCCGAGTCCGTCTGCCTTGGTCCAAGCTTTTCTGTGGTTTCCTTGGACCATTTAGGCAAATGCTGAGGCAGTAATATTCCACAGATAATCTTTCATTCCCTTCTGCCTTCATTTCGTCCATCTCATCTTTCTCACCCGAACCATCACCCACCCATTCCCACTATTCCTGAAAGCAGGCTGAAGAGGGCCTTCCGCCCTACCTTCCGGCATAGTCCGGAGGGACTGACCGCCCACCAGCATTACTGGCTGAATGAATGAAACACCCAAAATTTTTTTTCTTTACTATAAACAGCATAGTTTAATCTGGTAGAAAGGCTACCTTCGGTCGGCTTCAAAATCCCATATAGTTTCTTATAAAGGTTCATTTACGACCTTTCTGTACCGTTTTACCCCCTCCACTCTTACTCTGACGTCACAGCTATCTGCCATCTTTGACGGCTGTCATCGTCAGGCATCTTTGACAGCTGTCATTGTCTGCCTGGACTTCGCCCCGATCCTTCTGCGGGTGCTCCGACTTCCCGAGGCCCCTTCATCTGTTGCTTCCTGATCTTAAAGTACAGCTCTACTGCAGTCCATGTCCATGATACTTCATCCATAGTCGTTGTCCCACTATCGTGGTGCCCCGTAATTAGGCAGGCAAGCAGGCCCTATTACCCAGCTGGTTGCTGCTGGCTCTCGTATACAACATTTATAAGGCATAGGCACACCCTCAGAAGGAGCAGGGCGAAGTCTTAGCTGACGATGATAGCTGTCAAAGATGGCTAACGATGACAGCTGTCAAAGATAACTGACGATGACAGCTGTCTAAAATGGCTAATGGCAGTGACGCCAGAGTAGGAGTGGAGGGAGTACAACGATACAAAAAGGACAGAAATAAACCTTCATACATGGGATTTTAGGTCGAATGAAGGCATCCTATCTACTTACACTATCTATAAACAATTGCTACATTAAGATTCAAAAACGTTCGACAAGGTTTATAAGGATACTGACTTTTCGAATTAAGCTCGTCATAGCAACCCCTACGCGGTAGACAACTAAATAGAAAAGTTCATGGTAGCCACTATTTTGTCGAATCCGTCACTCGTCAGATGTGGAACGAGATTTCGATCTCATTGGATCTCGTCAGCACGGCATAAACGGTTCCAACAAAATTGCTACATTTTATGGGATTCAATAATGTTCGAGAAGAACCATACGAATACAGAGGTTTGTAGAAAGAATGTAAAGTTGGTGTACATTTTGGAGAGAGTGTTCACGGCGTGCAGACGAGACCCAATGAAAACGAAATCGCCATCTAAATCTGGCAGTTTCTACAGAATACTGACGACCATGAAGTTTTAATTCTAATAATATGTATTGTTTACACTCTGTGAATAACAACGTCCTGTTATTACGTCAAAATATAGCCGATCCCTTGCGTGACGCTGTAACCAACTTTTATTATATTTTAATTTTTTACTATGACCCCTTTGCCTGTTTGCGCTTAGTGCTCATCTAACATTTAGTTTTCAAATAACTTACTTAAATACTATTACGTTTTTGTAGAAATGAAGAATATTTCTTTTTCAAGACTCATACTAACAATAATTAGAATGAGTTGAAAGACCCCTTCGAATACTGCAAAATGAGATAAATATTATTTGATGGACATGAACGTAAAT